TTCGCAAGTTCGAGCTCACGCTGCAGCTCCACAACGTCAAGGAAAACAAGCACCACGCTTACTTGTACTCTCGCTCAGGGGGCGCGTGTCAGGCGTGGTTGGACAACTTGTTGTCCAAGTACGGAGTGGTAGCAGCGGACTTGCACACCATGATCAGCTGGGATGATCTGAAGGCGGTGTGGCACAAGCGGTTCCAGGTAGAGCCGCCAGAGATCAAAGCCATGGACAAGCTTATGGTCTTCGAGCAAGGCTCGCTGCCGAGTATGGACTGGATCGCCGAGTATGGACTGGATCGCCGAGTATGGACTGGATCGCTGAGTACCAACGCTTAACGTCAGTCCCAGACATCCAGATGGGCTTCAAAGCCATCCGCCACTATTTCATCTCAAGGTCATGTCCGGCATTGAGCAATGACCTGACGCATGTCGAGGACACCTTGATGACGACGGCGGAATTATTCGACAAGGCTGCGCAGATCATCGTTACGAACAAGGAGGCCAAGAACCTCCATTCATCTGCGTCAGGCCCGAGCGGGAACCAGCATCGGCCACGAGTGGCTGTGGTCGCAGCAGCAGCGCCGTTAGACCAATCCAGCGAGGCTACGTCTGCCAATGACGGAGACAAATTCGCAGCCGCCCGGGAAGGTGGCCGCCCCGGCAGAGGCCGAGGTCGCGGCAAGCCGAAGACACACACCGTTTCTACCCCCGGGCCCGGTGCAGCAGCTCAGACAGGCCCATGGACCCCGTACGGCATCTCCGAGTCCGCCTTCAAGGCGCGCGAGAGATTCCATTATTGCCTGTGGTGCAACAACGATCTTCATCTGACGCCGGTTTGCCCACTAAAGGGCAAGGGTCGACAGGGAAACTGAGCACCGCCGAGAGTGATGCGACGACACTCTCGACGCCTTCGGAACTGGTTTCTTCGCGAGTGACCTGCCTTCATTCTGAGGCGCACGCGGAAGTCGACAGTCCTCCGCTTCTACTTTCTTTTGAGGACTATGCTGCCCGGCTCGTTCCAACCCTGGGTACTCAAGCTCAAGGACAAGGAGTGTGTGCGGTTTCTTCTCCGTCCGGCAACAGCGACATATGGTCTTCAAGTGGTTCGTCACGGGATTCGGCGCGCGAGTTCTAGATAGAGGTTTTGGACCCGCTCATGTCTGAGGACTTTGCATGGCTTCCTCTCCCGACCACAGGCTGTTTGCCAAGACCGCAATGCGCAACACTTAGCGCTCATCTCCACACTTACCTTTCCTTCTATGCACCACCAACTTCGCCGACGGATGACGAAGTCGCGGTGGGGGACATCCTGGCGTACGTTACCAAGGTGGCCCGCGAGTTTCGCACGCAGTGGTACGATAACAACAATGCACCGCTCATGTATGTTCGCGTCCAGGTTGGGCAAGCGTCCTGCAGCGCTTTGCTGGATAGCGGCGCGACTCGCAACTTCATGAGCCAGTCTTTTATGCAAAGAGCTGGCCTTGGCGCACAAGTTCGGAGAAAGGCAAACCCGACGGCGATCAAGTTGGCGGATGGAAAGACGCAGCAACTACTCGACCATTACATTGAGGCCGTACCGGTCTACTTCGCACCTCATGCATGCGAACCAGTGACATTTGATATTCTCGACACGGACTTCGACATCATTCTGGGAATGCCTTGGCCTGCAAGTGCGCATCACACGGTCAACTTCCATCGGCGGACTTTTAGCGTTCGCGACGCCTTCGGCGCGGAAGTGGCGTGTACGATTCCTCTACCGCATTCTTCGATCCGGTGCCAAGTGGTGACGGCTAAATCATTCCGGGCGACTTGTGCTTACGAGCAGCCCGAGGAGATGGGCATATGTTTCCTATGGACCGTCGCGGTAGCCGACTCTTCACCCACGGACTTGTCTTCGGACCCCCGTGAGGTACGGTTGCTGGACGAGTTCGCCGACATCTTCGAGTCCCCTACCGGTGTGGTGCCGGGTCGGCCGATCTCTCACGAGATCATTCCTGTGGCCGGTGCTGTGCCGCCGAAAGGTTGCATCTATYGGATGAGCGAGGAGGAGCTTGAGGTACTCCGCGCACAACTCGATGATCCGTTGGCCAAGGGCTGGATCCGCCCAAGTAGCTCCCCATATGGAGCACCAGTTCTCTTCGTCAGRAAGAAGAACAAGGATCTACGATTGTGTATCGACTACCGCAAGCTCAACGCGCAAACCGTCAAGAATGCGGGGCCTCTCCCTCGCATCGACCATCTTCTTGAGCGATTGGGCGGCGCAAAATATTTTTCCAAGTTGGATTTGAAATCATGATATCATCAAA